TATCTAAAATACCTAATTAGTGTACTTAAGTCCTGTTAATTGCACATCTTTGCAAGGTCTCAAGAGTCTCCTAAAATTTCATTGTTTGAGAGAAAAATTGGTAGTAGGCTACTCTTGAATATATGTGGGTTTATACTCATACCATTTTAGTTAAATAAAGATATTCAGTTCATCCATGGCTAGGAAGTATAAAATATTTAGTATAACAATATGTGTATTAGCCGGAATGAATTTCTTAAGGGTTAATTGTTAGCATTACTTTGCTCAGATGAAAGCCATTATTTATACTGCCATGTCCCTAGTGAATACAGGAAAAGATGGCATGTCAACAAAAATTATATGATGGGAGTTGTAGAGTCTACTTTTCCAAAGTATACGTGTCACCTTCTCTTTTTTCTCCCCTGATAAAATACAGCTCCTGTAGGACACCTTCTCTTCTGATGCCTCCATAAGAGACAATTCATGCTCACCATCTCCACTTTGAGAATTATTTCTGTAGTGAGTCACTATTACAGATAATAATCCATCTCCTGTTGGTCTGCTGGAACTGAAAAACGACTGAAAATTGTTAACTTTTGTAGTGATATGTGTAATGACTATATGATTATCTTGCCTCTTTTTATTCACAACTTATCAAGTACCTACTTGACATATAGAAAGGAAAACAGTAAATTTAAGAAAAGACAGTTTTTTTCTCCTGAAAGTTTAGAGTTGAAAGCGCATGTTTAACACATTCATACATACATCCAAGAGATTCAAATAAAATAATCAAGCCAAATCACTGAAAGCTGAGAAAAGAGTTGAATGTTCAAGTGGCTACTGTGTAGTCACTTCATGTGATGTACCATGTAATCCTGCAAAATGAGTGCTGTATTGCTCCTTTTCAAGTGATGAAACTGAGGTTCAGAGAGCAAAACGTTTCATTACTAGTAAACTTCAAACTAGTAAACAAGAATTTGAGCTTATATATCTCTAATTCCAGAACCTATGCTTTTATTGCTAATGGCTTTTTAAAAAACTTGTTCTTCATTTTTTTTTTTTTTTGTTGAGTGAATTAAGAGCAGGATAAATAAGAAAAATAGTATTTAGGAATGTATTGCTTAGGTATGAGTAACTTCCTATTTGAAAGAACTGTTGAGTAATCGCCGTTTTTTTTCTTTCTTTTTAAATTTCTCCTCCCTGCATAGTTTCTGCATCTCCCAGATCACCTTTTTGTTTGTTTTGTTTTGGCACATTTATATCAGGGACTTTCTGGAGATATTTGATTGCCACTCATATGTAAGAGTAAATCACTAAAAATTAATTAGAAGCTCTGAGCACCTGGGTGAGGTTTGTGAAATTCATTGTATAGTTATTTGATAGAGCAATTTCTTAAGAAACCCCCATTGCATATCTTTAGGTCTTTTATCCTGTTACTTAGTACCTTACTGCCCAAAGTACCTGGTATCGCCACTGCCACATCCTTTTGGTGGGTTAAAAGTTTATCTGGTTTGCCTGTTGACTTTCCTTACTGCTGAGTTCCAATTCAGTTTTTTCTCATCTACTGAGTAGGTTACCATTTGTGTATCTATCTTCCAAGCTTTCAAAATTTTGTATCTCCAGCCTGGACAACATAGGGAGACCCTGTCTCTACAAAAAGTTTTTTAGAAAATTAGCTGGGTACCATGGCACATTCCTATAGTCCCAGCTACTCAGGAAGCTGCAGTGGGCCATGATTGTGTCATTATGCTCCAGCCTGGGTGACAGAGCAAGACCCTGTCTCTTAAAAAAAATAAAAAATGTTGTATCTGAAAGGTTTATGTCTTTTAAAATAAGTCAGTTTATTGGCATTTTAGTGGAGTTTTATGAGAGAAAGTTAATGTATACATTCAATTTGCCATCTTTAACCAATGTTGTTTATCTTCTGAAGATTCCATTTAATTTAGTTTGTTGTAGTTTTAGTCATCCAGAAGTTTCCAATTTATGTGAATTCAGATCTGTTCATATCCTTTGCCCACTTTTGAATGGAGTTGTTTGTTTTTTTCTTGTAAATGTAAGTTCCTTGTAGACTCTGGGTATTAGACCTTTGTCAGATAGATAAGACCGCAAAAATTTTCTCCCATTCTATAGGTTGTCTCTGCGCTCTGATGATAGTATTTTTTTTTTTTTTTTTGCTGTGCAGAAGCTCTTGAATTTAATTAGATCCCATTTGTCAATTTCTGCTTTTGTTGTGATTGCTTTTGGCATTTTCATCATGAAATCTTTGCCCATGCCTGTGTTCTGAATGGGTATTGCCTAGATTTTCTTCTAGGATTTTTAGAGTTTTCGGTTTTACGTTTAAATCTTTAATCCATCTTGAGTTAATTTTTGTATAAGGTTTAAGGAAGGGGTCTAGGTTCAATTTTCTGCATATGACTAGCCAATTCTCCCAGGACCATTTATTTAATAGGGAATCCTTTCCCCATTGCTTGTTTTTGTCAGGCTTGTCAAAGATCAGATGTGTGGTCTTATTTCTAGGTGTGTGGTCTTATTTCTGAGTCCTCTACTCTGTTTAATTGGTCTGTGTGTCTGTTCTTGTACTAATACCATGCTGTTTTGGTTACTGTAGCCTTGTAGGATAGTTTGAAGTCAGGTAGTGTGATGTCTCCAGCTTTGTTCTTTTTGCTTAGGATTGTCTTGGATATTTGGACTCTTTTTTGGTTTCATATGAATTTTATGAATTTTGGTTCCATATGAATTAGTTTTTTCTAATTCTGTGAAGAAAGCCCATGGCAGTTTAGTGGGAATAGCATTGAATCTATAAATAACTTTGGGCTGTATGGTCAGTTTCACAATATTGATTCTTTCTATCCATAAGCATGGAATGTTTGTCCATTTGTTTGTGTCCTCTTTGATTTCTTTGAGCAGTGGTTTGTAGTTGTTGAAGAGGCCCTTCACTTCCCTTATTAGCTGTATTCCTAGGTATTTTATTCATTTTGTAGCAATTGTGAATTGAAGTTCATTCATGATTTGATTCTTTGCTTGCTTATTGTTGGTGTATAGGAATGCTAGCGATTATTGCACATTGATTTTGTATCCTGAGACTTTGCTGAAGTTGCTTATCAGCTTAAGAAGGTTCTGGGCTGAGATGATAATTTGACCTCCTCTCTTCCTATTTGAATATCTTTATTTCTTTCTCTTGCCTGATTACCCTGGCCAGATCTTCCAATACTATGTTGAGTAGGATTGGTGAGAGAGAGCATCCTCATCTTGTGCTGGTTTTCAAGGGGAATGCTTCCACCTTTTCCCCATTCAGTATTATGTTAGCTACGGATTTGTCATAGATGGCTCTTTGAGGTATATTCCTTGAATACCTAGTTTGTTCAGAGTTTTTAACATTATGTTGAATTTTATCAAAGGTCTCTTCTGCAACCACAGATAATCATGTGGTTTTTGTCTTTAATTCTGTTTATGTGATAAATCACATTTATTGGTTTGCATATGTTGAACCAGCCTTGCACTCTGAGGATGAAGCCAGCTTGATCATGGTAGATAAGCTTTTTGGTGTGTGCTGGATTTGGTTTGCCGGTATTTTATTGTGGATTTTTGCATTGATGTTCATCACAGATATTGGCCTGAAGTTTTCTATTTTTGTTACATCTCCTGCTTGGTTTTGGTATCAGAGTGATGCTGGCCTCATAAAATAAGTTAGGGAGGAATCCCTTCCTTTCAATTTTTAGAATAGTTTCAGTAGAAATTTGTACCTCTGATAGAATTCAGCTGTGAATGTATCTGCTCCTGCGATTTTTTTTTGGTTGGTAGGCTATTTATTACTGCCTCAATTTCAGAACACGCTGTTGGTCTACTTAGGTAATTGATTTCTTCCTGGTTTAGTCTTGGGAGGGTGTATGTGTCCAGAAATGTATTCCTTTCTTCTAGATTTTTTAGTTTATGTGCATAGAGGTGTTTATAGTATTTTCTGATGGTGGTTTGTATTTCTGTGGGGTAAGGGTGGTATCTCCCTTGTCATTTCTGATTGCGTTTATTCCATTCTTCTCTCTTTCCTTCTACATTAGTCTAGCTAGTGGTGTATTTTAGTAATTTTTTCAAAAAATAAGCCCCTGGATTCATTGATTTTTTTAAGGGTTTTTTGTGTCTCTATCTCCTTCGGTTCTGCTCTGATCTCGGTTATTTTTTGTCTTCTGCTAGCTTTGGGGATTGTTTGCTCTTTGAACTGGTTTTAGTATCAATATTGTACTCGCTTCATAAAATGAGATGAAGAATGTTTCTACTTTTTCCATTCTAGGAAGAATCTGAATAAAAGTGGAATTATCTGTCCCTTGAATGTTTGGTAGAATTTACTAGTAAAACCAATTGAGCTTGATGTTTTATTTATGGGAAGATTTTAAATTATTGATTCAAATTATTTAATAGTTGGCAGGACTATGTAAGTTATTTTTTACTGAGGTTTGGTAATTTGTATTTTTGTAGTAATTTTCCTCTTGGTCTACGTTTTCTAATTTATTGATATAAAATTATTCATAATTCCCTATTATCTTTTTAATCTTTGTGATTCTGTCCCATTTTTCATACCTAATACTGCCTATCTATCTCTTTTCTTTATCTTGATCAATCTGACTGGAGATTTGTTTATTAGTTATTTCAAAGAACCAGTTTTTAGCTTCGTTGACCAAACTGTGTTTTATCTTTGTTTTCAGTTCATTAAGTTCTGCTCATGTCTTCATTTCTTTCTTTTTACTTTCTTTGTTTTTTTTCTGTCTTTCCCCGTAACTTTTAACTTATTTTCTAATATAAGCATTGAAGGTTATACATTTTTCTACTTTTTTGTGTGTGTAAAGTACAAAAATTGTCAATTGGGAATTTCGAAGTGGAGAAAAATATTTCATTCTGACTTTTAAATTGCCACTCTCAATTGTGCCTAAAATTCATAGTGCTTACCATGTCAAACAATATGATTTTGATATGTACCTGGGAAAATTATGCTTACTAATGTGGTTTTAATCTCATCATGTTTCTTATAGGATTCACCTTTATTTGATCTTATTAAACAATCAAAGGACCGAGAAGGACCAACTGATCACTTTGAATCTGCTTGTCCTCTTAATCTTCCTCTCCAGAATAATCACACTGCAGCAGATATGTAAGCAAAATATATGTTATGTTGACCATTCAAACTACAAACAGACTTTAAGCATAAGTGCAATGTAAGGTTCTATAAAGAAACTGTAGGAAATAGAATTTTGAATAATACATTGTTTCTGTTTTTAAGAAGTTAGTAATAAAAGATACATGACCCAAATAAAGTCATATAAAAGAGTACAGAGTGCTACTGAATCACCTAGGATTTGCATAATGAGAGCAGTTTTCATGGCAGAGTTGGCAGTTTAGGTGGAATAGGATTTCAACATGGAAACTCGAGAGGATAGAGGAGACAGAGGAGTGTGTTCCAAGAGTCAGAATGATATGAACTCAAAAGTATCAAAGGAAGCAGAAAACATTTTTCAGAGCGTGCAGGTCAGACCATTTGGAGTGAAGCATAGGATAAGTGTAGGGAGAAGTATAGGATGTGGACTAATACACAGTTGATTACTGTGTGCTGATGACGATGATGGGAAAAGAAAATGTAAACCCAGAAGTATCTGAAACAGGTCTCAATCAATGTAGAAGTTTATTTTGCCAAGATTAAGGACATGCCCAGGAGAGAGATCTGTGCCTTTCTCCAATGATGATTTTGAGGGCTCCAATATTTAAATGGGAAAGTCAGTCTGGAGGAGAAAGAAAAAAGGGTATGGTAATCCACATGTTGCAAGAGAAAAAAAGCTGGTAGAGAAATAGTCAATTATCTATCCATCTCATGCTGAGTGAATTGATATTTTACATAAGATAAGGTGAACTTAGAGTCGCTATCTGTAGAGGTATTTAACCTTTTATCTGTATTTGTTTGTGTGGGAACAAAAGGAAAGGCAGTCTCTTGCGTGACTCAGCTTTCAGCTTAATTTTTTCCTTTTGGCATAGTGAATTGGGGTCCCAAGTGTTTATTTTCCTTTCACAAAAGCAATCACTAACTGTGTGCTGGGCAGTGTCCTAAGTACTTAAGATTTATTTTTTCATTTAATCTTCATAACAATCCATAAGGTAGTAGATACTGCTGTCAGCCTGTTATCTAAAATGTAAAATAGGAATTAGAGAAATAAGATAACTTGCCTAAGGTCAACAGAATTCAAACCCAAGCTATCTAATCCCAAAGCCCAGGCTCTTAATCACTGTAGCTACATTGCCTTTCACAGAAATGTGCCTAATATTTTGTTTCTGTTTAACTGTGTGTAGGAACTGACATTACAGTATTCTGTGTTAGTGCAGGGGCCATTTTCCAGAGACGTCATTTTCATGCTAACTTGTACCCAAAGTGTTTCTGGCATATGGAGACCCTGCCTTCATGCATACATTTGTTTCCTAAGTAATGCTTTATATAAAGAAGTTAAGCCTTTTTTTTTTTTTTAAATTCAAGAGGCAGTCATCTGTTAACTGCCAGGAAGTGGTGTAGGCACTGGGAATACAGAAGTAAGATGGCCTGGGTCCTTCCCCTCATAGAGCTTACATTCTGGAGGAGAAACACAGGCAGTGAACAAGTAAACCAAGATGTAAGATGATTTTAGAGTATAGTAAGTGCTATAAAAGAGATAAACAGAGTGTTGTGAAAGAGAGAAATGGAGAGGGTGATAGAATGTTTAGTGGCACTTTCCTTTCTCTGAAAAAGTGATATTTTGACCTGACACCTGAAGGGCAATCTGATGCTGGCCAGACAAAAATCTTTATGATGTGCATTCCAGGCAGCAAGTGCTGTGGCTGTAGGGCAGATCAAACTTAGTTGGATTTAGGAACAGAAAGAAAGAAATCCTAGTGTGGCTGGGGTATTGGAAGAGGAGAATGGTGCAAGATGAGACTGAAGAGCCAAGCTGGGGTAGATCTTGTAGGTCCCCACAGGCCATAGTAAGGAGTTTGGATTCTATAAGGGCAGTGGGAAGCCATTTAAGCAGAAATGCAGCTTGCTATAATTTGTATTTTTAAAGGCCCACTCTCTGGCTGCTATCTGAAGTACAGGTGGGTTTGGAGGAAAGAAAGGGACAGGGCAAGGCAGAAAGCGAGGAGACCAGTTTGGAGACTATTTCTGTAGTTCAGATGAGGGATGTAAGTGACTTGGTCTAAGGTATGGTGTTAGAAATAGAAATGGAGAGATCTGGGGTATATTTAGAGATAAATTAATAGGTTTTACATTGGTTTTACATTGGATTTCAGGAATTTGTAAAATGGAGAAACTAAAAATAACTCCTAGATTTTTGACTTAAGACACTAGATGTAATGTGGAGCTATTCTTTGAGATGGGAAAATAAATCTAGAGCTCTGCTTTGTTCTTATTAAGTCTGAGATTCAAATAGTTACATCTGGTAGGTAATTGGATATTTACACCTAGAACTTCAGAGACTAACTTTGCCCAAGTTAAGCTAGTTTACGATACTGTCAGTAAACTGAATGAAAATCCAAAGTGGAAAATAGACCAGACACTGGTCCTTCTAAAATCATTGTGATAATGGGTTGCTTTTCTTAGTGTACTAGTTAATATACTACATGTTGTAGAAACATCCATAGTAAGGTACAAATTCTACTTCCTGTTCCTTTGTTCTTAAAATTTATGTCTTTAAAAATAAGTTTGTTTGCCAACTAACAAAAGAAAATCAGAAAGTAGATCTAGATTATTCTGTTAAATAGGGGGCAGCACAGAATGATAATATTTGCTAATATCCTTGCCTTGAGTTATGCCTGACATATTTAGTATACAGGTGTAAATCTGTCTGAATAATGTTATTTGAAGTATTAATTCATAGAATTCTGTACTGTGTGATTTAGGTGTGTGTAAATCTGTGTGTGTAACTGAAATCTTAGATATGAACCATATCTAAGTTATCACCGTATTTAGTTACAACTAAAAAAATTTTGGGGAGAATCACAAAAACAAGGTAACACTAATATCAATACTTTTTTTTTTTTTAGCTGGAATCATCTTTATGGTCTCAATCCCACTATAATTATTAAAATTGTACATTATACATATATAGCTATTTTTTCTAATAAGGCAGCAATCCCCAGGAAAAGCCATTTATTGAAATAGAGTTAGATATGATGATGACAAGCAGTTTTCCTATTAATATATCTTTCCCAGCTTATATTTAAGTAGTCTGCTCAGTGAATTTGATATACAATACCAATTAAATAGATAAGATGTATCTTGGTATACAACCTTAAAGTGTGTGTATAGTCTGTGATTCTTAGCCAACTTCAAATGAAGACTTTTCCTTTAAATATATCTAGGTATCTTTCTCCTGTAAGATCGCCAAAGAAAAAAGGTTCAACTACACGTGTAAATTCTACTGCAAATGCAGAGACACAAGCAACCTCAGCCTTCCAGACCCAGAAGCCATTGAAATCTACCTCTCTTTCACTGTTTTATAAAAAAGGTTAGTAGATGATTCTTTTCAAGAGCATGGACTCTGAAACTAGGCTGACTGGGTTCAAATCATGTTTCTTTTATTTTCTAGGTACATTACTGGGCAAGTCACTTAATATCTCTGTGGCTCAGTTTCCTCATTTATAAAATGGAAATGATAATGTTGTGAGATCTTTCCTGACTATTCACAGAGTCGTTTTTCTGGCCGGAAACCTCTGTGGCCGGTGGCGCCTTTGACCGAGTTTTGCTCAGGCCCACTGAGCTCATTTCACCCCCTTGGCCTGACAGGCTGCACTTGGCTCACACTACCGGCTTGGGTCCCATGCCAGCCAGGAGCAAGTCAGACATGGAACAGAGAGGGGTGTGTGAGCAAGCATGAGGTCTGGCCATTGCACACAGTCAGAAATACCAGCTCCTGCAGCGGGGCAGGCAGGTGCTGGCTCTCTGTGAGGCTGCAGTTGGACCAGACACACCACAAGCAGTTTCCACAGCTGGCATCGGGGAACAATAAAGTGGCCCCCAGAAGCTTGGAGATGCCAGAAACCACAGGGCCCCAAAGAGGGAGTCACAGCCCTGGCTCAGGGAGCTCCCAATTCTGGGCTGCCCGAAGGGCCGCAGCTCTTCTCTTTATCCGCAACATGGTGAGCAAGGGGCACGTTTCAGCCCTGTTTGTGGTACTGTCCTTTTTGCCTCACCATTTGGTGGGTCCTGAGTTCTTGTCCTGCAACCAGGAAGAATGAGGTACACAGACAAGTGGAGGGTGAGCAAGATGAAGGGGAGATTTATTGAGCAATAGAACAGCTTAAAGAAGACCCACAGTGGGCAGCTCCTCTCTGTAACCACAATGTCCCGATGAGTGTTCAGCTCCTAGCACAGAAGGTAGCTCCTCTCTGCAGGCAGGTCATCCCAACAAGTGTTCAGTTCTCAGCAGAAAGGGTAGCTCCTCTCTGCAGCTGTTGGTCCTGACAAGTGTTCAGCTATCAGTAGAGAGGGGCTCCTCTCTGCAGCTGTTGGTCCTGACAAGTGTTCAGCTATCAGTAGAGAGGGTAGCTCCTCTCTGCAGCTAGTTGTCCCATCGTCTCATCCTCTGCTCTGCTCTGGCTGAGCCTCGGGCTTCTATGGGCCTCAGTGGGGAGAAAGTACGTATCAATTGGTCCATGGGCAGCCACTAGTGGGCCCAGAAAAGGTACCACAAGTCCTCACTCCGGTCTGTGGGACTGGCAGCGCCCACTCCTAGCCTTCAGGCACTCCCTGGCCTGAAGGTGGGGCCTCAACAGGAGGCCCATCTGCCTCCTGCTGCCATCCATGCGCCAAGGGGCACCTGCAGGCCAGTGCCAAGCTGCCCGCAGCCCTCGCTTTGGCTTCCCCCATGCTTGTCAGCGCCCAAACTCTGGAGAGGGCTGAGGCGGCAGGGGGCTGGTGTGTCAGCGCTGCCTTGAGCGTGCGCACACCTGGCTGGGCTGTGACAGCACCCAGGCTCAGCCCTGACTTTGCTCCGAGATTGGAGTGGGCGCTGGCAGCAGGGAGAAACCAGGCAGTGGGAGCAGGCACTTCTGAGCCTGTGAGGGCGGTGGCGGTGAGGGGGGTGCCTTTCCGGGCCCCCAAGAGTACAGAGATGCCTGGGTCCACAGCCATGGTTTGGGTGGCTGCAGCTGCACTGGGGAGGGTGGGATCCCACCTGCTCCCCAGCTCTGAGAGCACAGGGATGCCTGGGTCTGGAGCAGCTGCAGAAGCACTGGGGAGCTCCTGTCCCTACTCGGAAGGGGCGGGGTTCCTACTTGTCCCCGGCTCCCCCGGGCTTCCTGGAGCATGCCGCCCCATCCATGCCTCCCTGCTGCAGCCGGTGTGATGTACATACAAAAGTAGTGTGGTGTTGCCTACTGCAGACACATTTAGTGGATATTTTCAGGACCTTTAAGAAGGCCAGTAACCAGGTCATGTAGCATTCTCTGAGTGTGTATATATATTGTGGGGTGGGGAGGTTGATTTGAGTGTCTGTGCACGCGCATATACTTCCTAGTGTACACCCACTTGGAGCTCTTTGAAAGACAGTAAAAGGTCATGTTCCTCCATGATAATCTTTTTCCTGATTTTATTCAAGTAAGAATTATGCTGAGCTTTACAGGCATATTGTCAGATATTATCCTTAGGTTAGAGCAGTGGATTTCAAAGTGTCATTCCCAACCAGCAGAATCCACATCACCTGGAAATTGTAGAAATGAGAATTCTGGGGCTCCAACCTAGACCCGCTCAATCAGAAACTCTTAAGATAGGGCCCCCAAAACCTTGTTTTAACAATCCTCCAGCTAAGTCTGACGTGTGCTAAAGTTTAAGACCACTGAGATAAATTGTTAGCTTTAAAAATTTAAAATTAGCTTTTGCAAGTCATTGAAAGAGACATATAAAGGGTCTTTATATGATATTTAAAGTAGATGAAGGAAAATTCAATTTTATGGATTCCTTTTTGCCAAATTTGCATTTTCAGTAGTTTTTATAGACTAAATAAATTACATATTGCAGTCATTTTACACTTAGGTAATCTACAAGTTTACCATTTTTCAACACAGTATGCTCCATTGGTATTTTATAGAGAAATGTGTGGTTTAATTTTTTTAGGACTGGAAAAATTCATAGACACTGGCAATTATATAATTTAAAAAAAGATTGTTCCTCTTTAATATTGATAGTGGCAATGACCAATGGTGAGTGATTATTAATGAAACTGAAACAAACCCTACTGGGTTGGCCTAATTTTACAGTGTCTTATGACCTTTCCTCCACTACTTCCCACCTCTGCCCCAATTTCATGCCATAATAGTTAATTCAGCATGTATCATTCTGCCTTATATGTACCTAGAACTGTGCTAACACAAGGAATCAATTATTTTTAAGGAAAATAGTAGTAGAAAAATCTTAAAACATCACCACTAAAGAACTTATTCATGTAACCAAACACCACCTGTTCCCCCAAACACCTATTTTTTTAAAAAAACTCATGCCTACATAGTGAAGCCTCCATAAAAACTCAAAAGGACCTGGTTCTGGGAGCTTCTGGGTATCTGCCCAGCTGGAGGTTCCTGGAGAAAAGCATGCCTGGGGAGGGCAAGGAAATTCCATGCCCCTTCTCACATGCCTTGCCCTCTGCATCTCTTCATTTGTATCCCTTGTAATATCCTTCATAATAAACCAGTAAACGTGTTTCTCTGGCGGGGGGGGGGGGAAGTGGCAGAAATGAGGTTTCTCTTAAAATGCTGCTTAACAGCATTATAATCAGAGCAATTTCATGATTTGAAAAAAATCTACTTGTAATTCAAAATGAACAGTAAAAATGACTGATTCTTCTTATCCCCACAGTGTATCGGCTAGCCTATCTCCGGCTAAATACACTATGTGAACGCCTTCTATCTGAGCACCCAGAACTAGAACACATCATCTGGACCCTTTTCCAGCATACGCTGCAGAATGAGTATGAACTCATGAGAGACAGGCATTTGGACCAAGTAAGAAAATCAAGCACTTCACCTTCTCTCCTCCCTACTTACTTGTTAACTGATTTCTTTCTTTTTTCTTTTTTTTTTTGAGATGGAGTCTCACTCTGTTGCCCAGGCTGGAGTGCAGTGGTGCAATATCGGCTCACTGCAACCTCCGCCTCCCAGGTTCAAGTGATTCTCCTGCCTCAGCCTCCCAAGTAGCTAGGATTACAGGCGTGTACCACCACGCCTGGTTAATTTTTGTATTTTAGTAGAGACAGGTTTTCACCATGTTGGCCAGGCTGGTCTCGAACTTCTGACCTCAGGTGATCCATCTGCCTATGGCCTCCCACAGTGTTGGGATTACAGGCTTGAGCCACCGCACCCAGCCTTGTTAAGTGATTTCTAAAGAAAATATTAGATTCAAATGAGAAACTAGATCAATTTATTAGACTTAATATATGTTCATTTTTTGGCTACCATTTACATTTTTGTTGTAATTCTTACAAATGAAAGCTTTAACACTCAAGAGTATATTTTAGTAACTACTTAGTTAATGAGACAAAAGATCTTACCTGTAAAAAAATAGGTGAAGAATCTTCTTATAGGCTTTTTCTGTGTAGTAGTGAGCTGGATATCATTTTAGTGTGAAAAAAGCATGAGACTTAAGAATCAGTTGATTTAAAACAATACCTATTGAATGAATGAATGAAATCAATTAGTTTACAGTGAGAGAATTATCTTTCATATCCTCCTTTTTCTCTATAAAATAGGTTAATAAGAACAATATACTTTTGGCTGGGTGCGGTGGCTCACATCTGTAATCCTAGGACTTTGGGAGGTTGAGGTGGGCAGATCGCTTGAGCTCGGGAGTTTGAGACCAGCCTGGGCAACCTGGCAAAACCCCATCTCTACAAAAAATTTAAAAATTAGCCAGGTGTGGTGACTTGCAGCTGTGGTCCTAGCTACTTGGGAGGCTGAACTGGGAGTATTTCTTGAGCCCAGGAGGTGGAGGTTGCAAGTGAGCTGAGATCACACCACTGTACTCCGGCCTGGGTAACAGAGCAAGACTCTGTCTCAAAAAAATTTTTTTTCTAATTAAAAAAAATATATATGTACATATATATAGTTAATAGCTTTAGTGACATAATTCACACACCATAAAAACCACCCATTTAAAATGTACAATTCGGTGGTTTTTAGTGTATTCACAGAGTTGTACAAACATCACCACAATCAATTTTAGAATTTGTATCACACCAGAAAGAAACTCCATACTCTCAAGCAGTCACCCCCTATTCCCCTACCCCCTAAGCCCAAGACAATATTAATCTGTTTTCTATGGACTTTCCTCTTCTAGACATTTCATACACATGGAATTATATAATATGTGGTCTTTTGTGTTTGGCTTCTTTCATTTAGCATGTTTTCAAGGTTCATCTGTATTGTAGCTTGTATCAGTACTTCATTCCTTTTCATTGCCAGATAATATTCCATTGTATGAGTATATACCACATTATGCTTATCATTCATGAAGTGATAAACATTTGGGCTGTTTCCACTTTTTGGCCATTATGAATGTTACTGTGAACATTTATGTACATGTTTTCATTTCTCCTGGGTACATACCTAGGAGTAGAGTTGCTAGGTCATATGATGATTCTATGTTAACTTTTTGAGGAATGCCCAGATCATTTTCCAAAGTGGCTATACCATTTTACATGCCTACCAATAATGTATGAGGTTCCAATTTCTCTATATCCTCACCAACTTTTTTAATCTTTTTTTTTAATCATAGCCATCCTAGTGGGTATAAAGTGGCATCTCAGTGTGCTTTTGATTTGCATTTCTCTGATGGCTAGTGATGGTGAGCACCTTTTCATGTGTTTACTGGCCATGTGTATATCTTCTTTAAAGAAATGTCTATTCAGACCCTTTGCCCATTTTTTTTTTATTTTTATTTTTTATTTCTGACACGGAGTCTTGCTCTGTCGCCCAGGCTAGGGTGCAGTGGCATGATCTCAGCTTACAGCAACCTCTGCCTCCCGGGTTCAAGCGATTCTCCTGCCTCAGCCTCCTGAGTAGCTGGGATTACAGGTGTGTGCCACGACGCTGGCTAATTTCTGTATTTTTAGTAGAGATAGGGTTTCATTATGTTGGTCAGGCTGGTCTCGAACTCCTGACTTTGTGATCCACTCGCCTCGGACTTCCAAAGTGCTGGGATTACGGGCGTGAGCCACCATGCCCAGCCCATTTTGTTTTGAGACATGGTCTTATTCTGTCACCCAGGTTGGAGTACAGTGACATGATCATAGCTCACTACGGCCTCGAATCCCTGGGCTTAAGTGTTCCTCCCACTTCTGCCTCCCGAGTAGCTGGGACCATAGGCACACACCACCACGCCCAGCTAATTTTTGTATTTTTTGTAGAGATAGGGTTTTGCCATGTTGCTCAGGCTGGTCTCGAACTCCTGAGCTCAAGTGAGTCACCCACCTGGGCCTCCCAAAGTGCTGGGATTACAGGCATGAGCCACCACACCCAGACTGCCCATTATTTAATAGGGTTATTTGTCTTGTTATTATTGAACTGTAAGGGGTCTTTATGTAGTCTATATACAAGTCCCTTATCACATACATAATTTGAAAATATTTTCTTCCTTTCTGTGAGTTGTTTCACTTTCTTGGTAGTGTCCTTTGAAACACAAGTTTTTTATTTTGATGATGTCTAATTTATGTAGTTGTTTTCTTGTTATTGATGCTTTAGTGTCATATCTAAGAAACCAGTGCCAAATCTGAAGTTGTTAAGATTTATCCCTGTTTTCCTCCAAAAGGTTTATAGTTTTAGTTCTTACATTTAGGTTTTGCTCCATTTTGAGCTAATTTTTTAATATAGTTGAGGTAGGAGTCCAGCTTCATTCTTTTGTATGTGGATAACTAGTTGTTCCAGCACCATTTTTTGAAAAGATTTTTTTCTCTCCTCATTGACAGTTGTCAAAAAATCAGTTGACTGTAAATATGTAAATATTTATTTCTGGACTCTCAATTCTGTTTCATTGATCTACATAAGGTATTCTTATGCCAGTACTACACTGTCTACACTTGGCTGTAGGATGCCAAGCAAAAGATGACTATTTGGCACTCTTGGCAATAGTAGGTAAGAGCAAGAATGTTGCAGAAGTAATGAGTACTTAAATTAGGCTGTAACGTTCATACAAATAATGTCTGATGTTTTAAAGTCACAGGGAATCATTTTCAGAACTTAGTTTTGCATTTAAAATATCTTTTATTGAAATGTAATACACATATGTAAAAACCTGTGTATCAAAAGGATACATTCTAACAAAAATTCATCAACTGAACTTAGTTATATAACCAGCATCCAGATCTGGAAACAAAACATTGTCAGCAACACATAAGACTCTCTTACATGCCCTTCCAGTCACCATGGCCTCCTCACCACCACCACCAAGTGTGTTCAATATTATTTTATCTGATAGTTTGAAACGTTTTCACATCTGGCTTTTTAAAGTGCTAGTTATACAAAATTAATTGATTCTAGTTTCAGCTTTTCTGGGAAACATTTAAGGGACAAGAGCCAAAGTTAGGGTAATTTACAAGCCAGGTGATCAGTCCTGAATAATTGAGCCTTGTGATTTGCATTTTGTTCTTTAAACACACTTTGGGTTAAACATTTCATGTAGAATTTCAAACTGAGCTCAGTGTGGAAAGAAATAACTCTGTAGGAAATTAAACTTTTCTTTTTTGAGGCTAAAAGAAAGAAAATGGTATTTTTTAAGAATAAAACCATGTAATAAAATTCTGACTACTTTTACATCATATTTATTTACTAGATTATGATGTGTTCCATGTATGGCATATGCAAAGTGAAGAATATAGACCTTAAATTCAAAATCATCGTAACAGCATACAAGGATCTTCCTCATGCTGTTCAGGAGGTAGGTAATTTTCCATAGTAAGTTTTTTTGATAAATCCGTATCCATAACATAGGTAATTTTATTCATTAATGAGATCATATATTCTGACCTTATTTTGTAAATTCACAAATGAAAATTGTTATATTATTTATTTGTAACTTAAATAGAATTGGAAAGATAAGGCAAATAATGAAATTATCCATATCCATATTTTTTAATAAAGTTAACAAGTAATACTTTATCCCTGTAATAGGCAGGTATTTGTAATAAACTTGACATGAGTCATAGAACATTAGATATTCTTTGAAGTTATTTGTATTAGTTTATAGGAAAAGCCAATATAAATGCAGCCTTGCAAATAAATAATAAAAATGTTCAGTATAAACACATTTTGTGTTTCTGGTTTACCTTCCCTTTAGAGACATAGTAGTAGTAAAATATACTTGGTATGACATATTTCATATTGTTTTGTGGAAAGTGAGTTGTGGGATATTTTTCCCATTTATTATTGGAGTTTTCAAAAGTAATACAAACCAAGTCATTTTTGTTTGTATGTTTGAAGTTATTTTCTAAATTCAATCATTTTAATTGTATATATCAGAGGCATCTGATATAACCTCTGTGTTTTTACCTAAAATTTGAGTGAAATCTATCACTAAAATATAGTGCCTTTACTAAATGTCTACTTCTTGCAATTGAGTAATGCATACTTAAACCCTTATAGATTGGGGGGAATACCAGGAGGTACAGGCCAGAGAATGTAGTCCAAATATTGATACATAATGTTATTGGCTTTCGCTCAGCTCTGGCCCTTTGATTCCCTTTGATCATGCTTTCCATTCTACTAGCCTGTCTACTCCTGTCTTCTTAGATGGCCAGCTATTCCATCTGCTGCTGCCTGGCTATTTCTCTCAATCATTCTGTGACATTTCACTTCTCGGAGAGCAGCTATAATCCAAGCCTAAGAAGTAATTTTAGATTATTTTTTTCTTTTATAATATGTGCTTCTTATCAGTCAAAAAGTATTATAAACTATTAGAAAAGAAAATCTAAAGGTAGAAATTTTAAAATTCATTTAACAACTAAATTTTACTTTTTTTTTTTCCTACTATTCTTTCTCAGACATTCAAACGTGTTTTGATCAAAGAAGAGGAGTATGATTCTATTATAGTATTCTATAACTCGGTCTTCATGCAGAGACTGAAAACAAATATTTTGCAGTATGCTTCCACCAGGGTAGGTCGAAAGTATCCTTTGACTGGAAAAATCTAATGTAATGGGTCCACCAAAACATTAAATAAATGGTCTACTTTTCTGTTTTTGCTCTAGCCCCCTACCTTGTCACCAATACCTCACATTCCTCGAAGTCCTTACAAGTTTCCTAGTTCGCCCTTACGGATTCCTGGAGGGAACATCTATATTTCACCCCTGAAGAGTCCATATAAAATTTCAGAAGGTCTGCCAACACCAACGAAAATGACTCCAAGATCAAGGTGTGTGTTTTCTCTTTATGGAAGTAGTAAAGAATGAGAGGGCGATTATTTTGATCCAAGAATAAAAAATATAAAGCTTTCTTCATTTCAAATAAGCTAGACTCTTGAAACTCTATTTGCTTATTTAAGTAACATAATAAGAATATGGAGAGAAAGAAAATCTATTTACTTGGATGAGTTTACACATTTACTTACCAGATTTCCTGACTGTTAGGGTATCTTCTTTTGTAAACAATTTGAGAACCAGTTTGGTTATATGTTTCAAAACACTTTCATATTTTTCTAAGTAGCTAATCTGCTAAACAAAGCAGGTTACTTTAGGTTGAGTACTTTTAGTTTGTAGTTTATTGGATGTCCTGTAAATTTTGCTTCCTGTGGATTTTGTTCATTTTGCTTGTTATATTAAATGTAGATTACTGTCAATTAAGTCTTTAGAGGTCCATCCCTAATCCTGCTGGCAGCCACTTTACCACTTTACCTTGGGCAGGTCTCTGTCTCTACTTCACAAGGGTGCTGTGGATCAGGGAAATGATGAGTATGAAGCTGTTTTAAATGCTCAGATGAAAGGTGGTGTGCAACTACAAATCATTATATTATCTTCCACATCCAACCACAAGTGCTCTCTGGCTTTGAAGTGCTTCAATTGACTAATTATATGTTATCACGGGCTATTTGAAACTGACTTTATTTGTGTAAAGTAGGAGGCAGATTAGCTAGTATAGTTAATGTAGTCTCATCTCAGAAATTATCAGCCCATATGGTTGTACCTAATGGGCAAGAAAAGGGGAATATGTTGGCCTTTCAGAAAACATTTGGATGGTATATTTAATTATTTAAGTAGTACGTACTCATTATAAAAATTTCAAACTCTACAGAAAAATATGAAGTGAGAAATAATTGGCAATATGATACAAATGCTCTCATGTGCCTCTGTATCATCCTTTATTTATTTGGTGTTCTTGTAGTTGGATATCTGTGTACTGATACCTATTACTTGTTCTAAGCTGCTAAGATGCCACGTCATGTCTATTTAAGAAAATTTACATTGTTCCATGCCACTATATGAAAATGTATACTTAGGTAGTTTTCTTTAATAGTGATAATTAGTCCATATTATGGTGATAATGATGGCTACTTGCTGATCCTTAGTGAAATAAATTCTGTGTTGGTATTCTTTAGCAAGAAAGTCACATTCTGAACATCCTAACTAATAAATCATTGGCCAGGCATTAGGAGAGCATCTTAACACTACCTAGTACATTTAGGTGTTCTGGTTAATCAAATATTATATGTAGAATCATGGCCACTTATCAAGGAATTAGAGGACAAAAAATTCTCTATATTCACTAGTTCCGTGTTCATGTTTTCAAATCTTTGTTGAGTCATGTCAGTCTAATGATGTTCTTCAGATTTATTATCAAGAACATAAATTATATGGTTCAAATAAAGACAGACTAATAAAGATTTCTGACTCCATATATGATATATGATAGCCTTTACTATATCAATATAGAGGCTAATTAGAATTCTGATTATTACTTAATATTGTAAGTTTTTTCCAAATATTACTTGAATTTTAAATGAGAAAATATGAAAGAAATTTGATAACTTACCCATTGATTTACAAAGAACTCAGTAGGAGTAAACTTGAAACTTTCCTTTGCCCTCCCTAAATATGGGCAATAGCAGAATATGTTCTTGCAGACTTATAACTTTTGCTGTAAAACTAAGAGACTAGGTGAGTATATGATTAAATGGGCACTGTTACAATAATTCCCAAATGAATATAGTTTGTCAGTAGTTCTAGGGTAGAGGTAACCTTTAATTTAGTATTCCTAATAGTTCAGAATGATGTTATCTATGCTCGTCTCTGCAAAATTGTATATGATTTTTTATTACTAATTGGCATTTCATCTTAACTTGACAGAATCTTAGTATCAATTGGTGAATCATTTGGGGTGAGTATTTTCTTTCTATGAAATATAATAGTATGCATTGTAAGTATAAAAGAAATTAAAGCTTTCTATAATTCGAGTTTCTAAATGTAATTATTCAAACACCTCATCCAGGCATATTGCATAGAAATTTATGAGAGAGATATATATATATCATACTCCTAATCTCAAATCATACTCCTAATTGGTGAACTTCAAAACTTTTCTAAATAATCATTTGAGATTATATAATACATATATACATTTGTGTATATACATACATATATACGTGAGCTGTTTTTGCTCATAACACTTCTGTCACCAAATGTGTAAGATTTTTTTCTCACACAAATCTTCAACTCTCTGGTGTTCTGCAGTTCAATTCAATTCTGACACTAATTACTCAGAGTCAGCATCAGACTCCACAGGTTCAAGGCTCAGTCCCACAAAACTGGTCTCACTGCAGACACCAGTCACAAGCGTCAGGTCCCCAGGCTACACCACACTTCCTTCTGACTTGGATACAAAGTTGGGGGGTTCCAGTAGTGCCTCTTCCTTACAGGTTTGATCCATTGCCAGAACTACTCACAAAACTCTGGAAAATATTTTACTTACTATTATCAGTTCATCATAAAAGATACAAATGAACAGCCAGATGAAGAAGTATTATATAGGCTGAGGTCCAGAAGAGTCCCTAGCACAGGGGCTTCTGTCCCTGGGGAGTTGGGGTGCACCACCTTCCTAGCACTTAGACATGTTTACCAACTCCAAAGGTCTCCCAACCTTATTGTTGAGGGGTTTTTATAGGGGTTTCATTATGTAGGCATAATTGGTTAACTCAATCTCCAACCCCCTCCCATCCCTGGATAGAGGGTGGGGCTGAAAGTTCCAAGCTTCTGCTCAAGACCTGGTCTTTCTGGCAACCAGCTTCATCCTAAATTAGCTAGGTATGCACTAAGTATCACCTCATTAGAACAAAAGAGGGTCCCATTACCCTTATCACTCAGGAAATTCGAAGGGTTTTAGGAGCTCTGTTCCAGGAACCGGGGACAAAGAACAAATATCTCTCTATGATACCATGTATGTATGTACATAACCTCACAGGAATTTTATAAAACAGTTTTGAAATGCACTCATTATGAGTGTGATTTGAAATGAGATACTCCAAAATGTAAGCCCGATATCCAAATGTCACCAGCCTGTCCCTGCCTACTGGTCTCCTTCCATACATATGCACTTTTTGCTTATCCTTCCTCTCAGACTTCTCAGACTTCTAGGATATTCTTTTTCTGGTACACTGATTAGGAATTGTTTACATGAGATCCTGCCTCAATGAAAGTGGCAGGGCTTCATTCTAGGAGATCCAAGGGAAAGCTTTGCTTTGAAACATTTATTCTAGGCTGCAAATCTACAACACTAGTTGGCCTTCCATTAAAGTCACTAATTCAGCAGTCCCATATTCAGTATGCATTACTATTAATATGTTGCACCATCTCCACTCCCCTGAGAGCTTATATTTTCAATTTTTTTATTTTTATTTTTAGAGACAGTGTCTCCCTCTGTCACCTACTTACCGTAACCTCAAACTCCTCAACTCAAGCAGTCCTCTCACCTTAGCCTCCCAAGTTGCCAGGACTATAGGCATGCACCACCATGTCCAGCTAATTTTTTAATTTTTTGTAGAGACAGGGGCTTGCTATGTTGGCCAGATTGGTATTGAACTCCTGGCTTCCATGATCCCCTGTCTCAGCCTCCCAAAGAGCTGGGATTACAGATGTGAGCCACTGCGCCTGGCCAGAGAGCTTATATTCTTATAGGAATGCGAAGACTGCCTATATTATGTATTGCTACATAATACATTACCCCCAAACTTAGTGACTTAAAACAAACGTTTATTACCTCCATTTCTGTGGGTCAATAATCTAGGCATGACTTAGCTGGACCAGAGTTTCTCCAAAGTCTGTGATCAAGGTGTCAGCAGGGGCTGCAGTCATCTCAAGGCTCCACTAGAGGAGCATTCACTGGCAGACTTACTCAAACGGCTGTTGGCTGATCCTCCATGCCTGTTGGTTTCTTGCCCTTGGGCCCCTCCATAGTGCTACTTGCTACTCACAACATGGCAGCTTGCTTTGCCCAGAGCAGGGACTCTGAGGGAGGCAGGGAAATAAAGAGCAAGAGACGGGTAGATGGGTCACAGTTTTATTGTAATCTAATTCTGGAAATGACAGCCCATTACTTTTGGTATATTATTTTGGTTAGAAGCAAGACAACAGTAGATCTAGCCTACACATGAGGGGAGGAGGATTACACAAGGAGGTGAATACCAGGAGGTGGGGTCATTGGGAGCCATCTGAGAGGCTGCCCACCACACTGCCTCAAGTAACTAGGGAGAAGTAAAAGTTTGTATGCCAAATGACCAAATGTTAAAATGTGTGTTACAAATAGTTCATGATGGGCTGCAGCTGTGAGGCTTTACAAAGGAGCTATGGGACCTTATAAGGACAGTTGGAGCTGGCTAGGTATCACATTGTGGTCTTCAAACATTTTTGCTTGCCATAACCTCTAAAATAATTGGGAAAAAGTTGAATGTACTTCCATATCTTAAAGCTGATAATTTAAAATATTATACATTTAATAGCAGCATGGGATTTAGTTTTTGTTAAATTGTATATGTGCTCCAGATAGATTTACCATCAAAACCTGTTTTGAATTTAATATTGGGAGAATTCACTTATTTAATTTTTGGAAAATAAAGCATAATTGGCAAAGCTAATTCTCACTGTTGAATCTATCAGTCAAATCAGATATAATTTCTATCAGAAAGTCTATATGACTTGTCAACATAATACCCACAAAGTGAATCAAAAATTATTATTCGTTGAACACATCATCTCTTATCAAATTCTTGTGACCTTCCCTCTGGTTATGTAATAGCCTAAAAGAAAAAAAAAATGACAAAAGCAAGTTTCCAGAAAGCTATTCTGACTTGCCTACTTCTGAAAAGTAGTCCTGTATAGTGGGTCCTGAAAATGAGGAACCAGCACTTGCAGAGTAAGCAGTTGCTGGAGGAAGAATGTGAGATGCATGGGAAAAGACAGGAGGATTTACAAAGAGTGGGTGTTTAATTGGGGAGGGAATTAGGTAGTTATTCTGATTTTTAGATATTTCATATATTTTATTTGGTCCAATGAAGCAGAAAATTAAAATGAAGTGATTACCTCTGCCTGATTTTTGACACACCTCAAACTATAACTTGAGGTTGCTAACTACAAAACACTGGCACTTAATGATTTAAAGTAAAGAATTATGTAATTTGTAGACTTCTGAGAAGTTCCAGAAAATAAATCAGATGGTGTGTAACAGCGACCGTGTGCTCAAAAGAAGTGCTGAAGGAAGCAACCCTCCTAAACCGCTGAAAAAACTACGCTTTGATATTGAAGGATCAGATGAAGCAGATGGAAGGTAGGAACCATTTTTGAATGTTTTCCAGTAACTGAGATGGTCATCTGGGGAATCCAGAGTCTTAGCACTGCTCCTGACTTATACCACTTTCTTTCATGCCAAGTTTATTTGGCAGCTGTGAGAATGACTCAAAATAATAGATATGAGGGTAGTGCAAAGTTAAAAACACCTTACAAATTGTGTACCAACATGCAGTGAAGATAACTAATAAACCCTGATCTTTTTTACAAAGCTATTCATAAAATTTTGTTATTAACATTAAATTTAAAAATGTTTACTCTTTAAAAATATTAACCACTATGTTTTGTAAGAACCACTGAAAAAATATATAGCATCATAAATTTGTGACATTTATGTTTTAGATGGTTAGTTTTTAAGTTTTAAAATTAAAAGCTACTCACTAAAATAATAGCATTAAAATAAGGCATCGAAAGCGTCAGTTACTGGAAATTTGAGTTTTCCTTTTATAAATACACATGAAATGTTTTACATTTTTTTAAATCTGCAGTAAACATCTCCCAGGGGAGTCCAAATTTCAGCAGAAACTGGCAGAAATGAGTAAGTACTTATTTCACCTTGTGTAAATTAAAGAAACAATTGTTTACACTGCAGGAAGTCTTTTCATTCTATAAAAGAATGTATAATCTCTTCCGTTGGCAGGTTTGTTTATGCATTTAAAATATAATTCAATCAAGATTATATTATGTACCTACAAACATTTGTGGATTAAATGTATGATGCAAAGTGAAGGTCATTTTTACTCTTCCTATGATCTTTCGTGCGGAAAGACTAAGAAGTGAAACATTGCTTGACCACATTCAACACAAATGGCTACAGTTACAAAATATGTTAGCAGAACTACAAAGAGGAACTACTTAGGAGTATTAGATATAGGGAAAGGCTTTATAAACTTAGCATATGTAAACATCATCACCCTTATTTAAGGAATAACCTTTGATTCTGCCATTATTAAACTTTCCTTATTTGCAAATCTTAAAACAATTTCAAACAAAAGTTTCCATTACTGGATATCAGAATTTTAATAAAGAACACTGTGTCATTTTTCAAGTTATACAGAGTGATATAATGTTAGGGTAAGTGGAATTCTATTCAAAACTACTCTGAGACTAGAAAAAAAATTAATCCAAGTATAGTAGATGGAAGGCACATCAGGAAAGAGAAAAATGTTGACTGACTACTAGTGAGTTGTCTTAGGTAGCTATGGTCGTGAGTGTAACATTTCCCGGTATCTGCTGCCAGACCCATTGATAGGAAAAGGAACTGGGATTTTGAAAGAAGACAAATATTCAGGAGATAGGTGTTAAAACTATCGTTCCTAGGGCACAGGACACACTAATGAGAACAATACCAATTAAAATGAGAGGCTTTCTTTTAATACATCTTTGTAGATACTAACTTTGAAAACAAGATATTTAAAAGAATTTTTTTAATGTATTATTTTTAAAGTGTAATTAAAAGGAACTAAAACAAAATCTTCTAGTTATAAACGAATCTCTTTTTGGATTTTATGTCAACTTCTATGTTCCTATTTTAACTTTTAAATAGTTGTGTCTTTTCCCCTCTGTACACGAAAATAGACAAGAGGCTTATAACCAAAATCAGGCCTTGAAGACATAAGGAAACATTTTGGAACCCACAAATATGCACTTAAAAAGGAGCTGAAAGCTGTAAAAACATGTGTATTTTCTTAGAGAAGAGTTCAGTTGCTATAGTTAGTACATTTCCCAGTGACACACTTAGCTATGGTGGCGAGCTTCCTCTGCCAGGCCAAAGTTCAGGACCTTTGTACATCTACAAAATTGTGAAAAAGCAGCCAGAATTTTAACCCCTGAGGCTAAGGCATTTCTTTTTCTTTTTTTTTCTTTTTTCTTTTTTTTTTTGAGATGGAGTCTCGAGGATGCTCTTCAGCTTTTCTTAAACAATTACATTTAGGAAAGATCATCATACAATGCTGGATTGCCCAGAATGAAAGGGCATTCCATTTTTCCAAATATGCTTCTTTATAAAGAGCTCATGCCTACCTCTAAAATCAAGTTAAGAATTTTTAAGAAATTTAAAATAAGTATCCTGGCTTTGTCTTTATTGTAATTCATAACATGCTTTTAACATGGCCATGCCCTGGGTAGGCATGATGGCTCATGTCTATAATACCAGCACTATGGGAGGGCAAGGTGGGAGGACTGCTTGAGGCCAGGAGTTCAAGATGAGCCTGGGCAACATAGCAAGACCCCATCTTTACAAAAAAATCCAAAATTAGCCAGGCATGGTGGCATGTGCCTGTAGTCTCAGCTGCTGGAGAGGCCGAGGTAATAGGATTGCTTGAGCCCAGAAGGTCAAAGCTGTACTGAGCTGTGATCATGCTACTGCACTCCAGCTTGGGCAACAGAGCAAGACCCTGTCTCAAAAAAACAAAACAAAACAAAACAAAAACTCTATGCCCAGTTTAAATGAGCTATGATCTGATGTATTTGCAGTACCTGCAAGGCATCTCCAAACATAAGGGAAACTATAGCTTTGTAAAGAATACCACTACTCACTCTGGCATATTCGGTCTGGGCCAGCTGAGTATTCTAGTCTGCTGAAGTATATGCCAAGCATCAACCACCTCATATCTAGAGTAGTGGCCTGCAAAATGGGGCATACCTGGAAGTATGCAAGATCATCTTTTGGGGTACATAAAATAGAAGTTCTATTTATCTCATTTTAATGTTTGCTTGGGGTATGTGTTTTATAATTTGTACACGCATACATATTTTTGTGGTACAGGCTTGGAAAAAAATTTACTCACAGGGATATATGATTTTTAAAGATTTGGAGACCACTGCTTTTTTGAGGGGGGGAGTTTTTTTAAATTGATATATCATAGTTATACATATTTTAGGGGTACATGTGATGTTTTGATACATGTACACAATGTGTAATGATCAAATCAGGGTTATTGGGATATGTATCACCTCAAACATTTATCTTTGCATTGGGAACATTACAATTCTAGCTATTTTGAAATATGCGATAAATTATTGTTTACTGTAACTCCCTACAGTACTGTCAAATACTAGAATGAAGACCACTGCTTTTTGCAAGGTCCTGAGCGCCATCAGTTTGACATTAGCATCATATGTATGGCAGCCACTTGCCAGCTTACCCAGTACCACCAATGCTGTTAACAGTTCTTCGTCCTTTTTCCAGCTTCCACTCGAACACGAATGCAAAAGCAGAAAATGAATGATAGCATGGATACCTCAAACAAGGAAGAGAAATGAGGATCTCAGGACCTTGGTGGATACCGTGTACACCTCTGGATTCATTGTCTTTGACAGATGTGACTGTGTAACTTTCCCAGGTTCTGTTTATGGCCACATTTAATATCTTCAGTTCTTTTTGTGGATATAAAGTGTGCAGATGCAATTGTTTGGGTGATTCCTAAGCCACTTGAAATGTTAGTCATTGTTATTTATACAAGATTGAAAAATCTTGTGTAAATCCTGCCATTTAAAAAATTGTAGCAGATTGCTTCCACTTCCAAAGTAAAATTGCTGTGCTTTATGGATAGTAAGAATGGCCCTAGAGTGGGAGTCCTGATAACCCATGCCTGTCTGACTACTTTGCCTTCTTTTGTAGCGTATATGTGATGTTTGCTCTTGTTTTTATTAATTTATATGTATATTGTTTTAATTTAACATGAACACCCTTAGCAAATGTGTCCTATCTTCCAAATGCAATTTGACTGACTGCTCATTCACCCAAATTATCCTGAACCCTTCCGCAAAAATGGATATTATTAGAAATTAGAAAAAAATTACTAATTTTACACATTAGATTTTATTTTACTATTGGAATCTGATATACTGTGTGCTTGTTTTATAAATTTTTGCTTTTAATTAAATAAAAGCTGGAAGCAAAGTATAAACACATGATACTATCATACTACTGACACAGATTTCATACCTCAGAACTTAAAAGAACTGATTATTTTCTTCATCCAACTTATGTTTTTAAATGAGGATTATTGATAGTACTCTTGGTTTTTATACCATTCAGATCACTGAATTTATAAAGTACTCATCTAGTACTTGAAAAAGTAAAGTGCTCTACCAGATCTTAGATATACAGGACCCTAACACAGTATATCCCAAGTGCACTTTCTAACGTTTCTGGGTCCTGAAGAATTAAGACACAAATTAATTTTACTCCATAAACAGACTGTTAACTATAGGAGCCTTAATTTTTTTTTCATAGAGATTTGTCTAATTGCATCTCAAAATTATTCTGACCTCCTTAATTTGGGAAGGTTTGTGTTTTCTGTGGAATGGTACACGTCTTCCATGTATCTTTTGAACTGGCGATTGTCTATCTTTTATTTTTTTAAGTCAGTATGGTCGAACACTGGCATGTTCAAAGCCACATTATTTCTAGTCCAAAATTACAAGTAATCAAGGGTCATTATGGGTTAGGCATTAATGTTTCTATCTGATTTTGTGCGAAAGCTTCAAATTAAAACAGCTGCATTAGAAAAAGAGTCGCTTCTCCCCTCCCCTACACCTAAAGGTGTATTTAAACTATCTTGTGTGATTAACTTATTTAGAGATGCTGTAATTTAAAATAGGTAGCTTCAGCTAGCTTTTAGGAAAATTACTTTGTCTAACTCAGAATTATTTTTAAAAAGAAATCTGGTCTTGTTAGAAAACAAAATTTTATTTTATGCTCAATTAAGTTTCAAACTTACTATTTTGACAGTTATTTTGATAACAATGGCACTAGAAAGCTTTACTCCCTTTCATCATTAATTTCTGCATGAATATCATACAAATCAGTTAGTTTTTAGGTCAAGGGCTTACTATTTCTGGGTCTTTTGCTTCTAAGTTCACATTAGAATTAGTGCCAGAATTTTAGGAACTTCAGAGATCATGTACTGAGATTTCTTAAATAATGCTTCAGATATTATTGCTTTATTGCTTTTTTGTATTGGTTAAAACTATACATTTAAAATTGCTATGTTACTATTTTCTACAATTAATAGTTTGTCTATTTTAAAATAAATTAGTTGTTAAGAGTCTTATTGGTCTGATGTTGTGTTCTTTGTATGAAGTACACTAGTGTTCTCCTCTCTATCTAGGAGAAGATAGATAGAAGATAACTCTCCTAGTATCTCATCCATTCTCAGCCTTTAAGGGGCTCTATATGCTAGAGATCTTCAAATTTATTTCTTCAGCCCTGATCTTTTCACAGAGGACAAGGCTCTTATAGCCAACAGAACTCTTGATTCTACTCCCCTCTACCCAATGTCTCAAAATATAAACTAAAATCAAACAAAAGTCTTTTTTTTTTCTACCCTGGTCGTTCTCCATTTCACGTATCAAGTCAACAACTTAGGAACCATCTGTTAATTCTTGTCTGAACCACTGCTGAAGACTTGTAACTAGTCTCCCTGTTCCCTTTCTTTCTTGTCAAAATCCATAAAGAACAAAAATGATTGTTTAAAAATATAAATTGATTCACATTGCTCCACTTGAAGTACTTACCAGGAATTATAAAGCCCCTACTGACTTCCCATCCTCATCTTGTAGAATTTTCTCCTTGTCACTGTGCTTTAGCCACACTGAACCTTTTTCTTTAAAATACCAAGCCTATTCTTACTTTAGGCTTTTATATTTCTTCCTTCTTCTGCCTAGAATGCTCTTTTCCCACAATTTTGCAAGCCAGTTCCTTTGTCTTTCAGACCTCAGCTCAGAGGGCTTCCTTGACCACCAAGCTAAAATCATCACTTTGTGTTATATCATTGTCCTTCAAAAGTGCAACAGCATCCATCTATCACTATTTCCCACCATCTGAAATTGTCTTTCTTGTTACCTGTCTCCCCATTCCTAGCCACTCCCCACCCCAGATTGTAGCCATCAGCCTAGCTATTCTTTTTTTTTTTTTTTTTTTCTGAGATGGAGTCTTGCTTTGTCACCCAGGCAGGCTGCAGTGCAGTGGTGCGGTCTCCACTCACTGCAAGCTCCACCTCCCAGGTTCATGCCATTCTTCTGCCTCAGCCTCCCGAGTAACTGGCACTACAGGCACCTGCCACTATGCCCGGCTAATTTTTTGTATTTTTGGTAGAGATGGGGTTTCACTGTATTAGCCAGGATGGTCTCCATCTCCTGACCTCGTGATCCGCCCGCCTCGGCCTCCCAGAATGCTGTGATTACAGGTGTGAGTCACTGCGCCCGGCCTAGCTATTCTTATTGACCACTTTAGATCTAGTACCTAGAAGGTCCATCTGTAGAGGAAAAAACAGAATATATGTTTTCCATATTTTTCCAAGTATGTGAAAACAAACAACACTCTCTTCCTCTTTTAAAATGCCATGTACTAGTATCTACTGTATTCCAGGCACAGCTGTAAATGCTAGAGCTGTAACAATGAATAAATAAAACTAAAATCCCCATCCTTGCAGAACTGACTTTCTAGTTTCAGGCAAAGAGAGCAAACGAATGAATAAATGAGGAATACATAGTATGTGAGATTGTATTAAAGACTGTGGAGAAAAACAAAGCAAAGAGAAGGGCAAGGAAGGCTGGTAGGGAAAGGAGTTTTAAAATTTAAAAGAGAGTGGTCAGGGAAAGACTTGAGTGATATTTGGGCAAAGATCTGAAGGAGACAAGAGAGTGAGCCAGACACAAACAGGAGTCAAACATTCCACGGAGAGAGGGAGGAGTATGTCTGGTATGTCTGAAGAACAACTAGGAGGTCACAGTAAAATGGGCCTCAAGTATCTCTCTTCGTCTAATGCAAAGTATAAAAGGCCTTTGTGTATATTACAAGTCTATAATCCTTTATCTGTAGTTCCAAAATTGAGAAAGCTTTAAAAGCCAAGTGATTCTGTGTGTTTTATGCCAAAAGTCATATGGCATCAGAACCATATGTAAACTGGCACAGAGCTATTTATAATCTTTATCATACTTGGAATATTCTCTTGGAATACTCACTGCAGAAATATTAATATGTTTGATTGGGAGCTAACCCAGACCCGCCTTAGGTGTTATGTATTATTTGGCATATGTACCATATTATCATTCTAAACTCCCTCAAAATTATGAAACCCATCTGGCACCAAGGGTTTCAGACAAGGGATTATCTTAAATGTATATGATTTCTCAAAAACATGGCAGATGAAATTCTTTCCTTCTGGAACAGCGACACGTTTGTTCCTGAAGGAAGAAAGGCAAAGTGTGCGGAGCAGGAAAAGCAGCAAGCATATCTCAGTAGGCTGTATTTATATTGGGCAGGAATCTTAAATGAAATGCAGTGTCTTAGGTCACATCAAAATCCAGCAGCCTAAATTACACTAAAAAATTTTGTCTGCATGGCAGAGAATTGTTCACTTCTAGAGATGAATTTAGTATTCCAATGAATAAATACTATAATAAAAGGGGCAAATTCAAAATAAATTTTTTTCTCTTTTTTTTTTTTTTTGAGATGGAGTCTCACTCTTGTTGCCCAGTCTGGAGTGCAGTGGCACGATCTTGGCTTACTGCAACCTCTGCCTCCCGGGCTCAAGCGATTCTCCTGCCTCAGCCTCCCGAACAGCTGGAATTACAGGAGCGCACGACCACACCCGACTATTTTTTGTATTTTCAGTAGAGACTGGGTTTCGTCATGCTGAGCAGGCTGGTCTCAAACTCCTGACCTCAGGTGATCCGCCCGCTATGGCCTCCCAAAATGTTGGGATTACAGGCGTGAACCACTGCACCCGGCCTATTTACTTTTTCTTTACAGCTTTCTAAAGGTACAAATGGCTGGGAGGAAACTAGTTATACTATTTCTATTATCATCTGGATGATTTCATAGAAACTTGCTTTTAGAAGTATATTTTTGTTCCTCATTTTAGGGCCAATATAGTATACACAGCATAGGTAAAGTTTCAGTAGAGTTTTCCTTTGGACTAAATAGATATTTTACAGGACAACTCAAACCTTGTCTCCAGAAATATTAAATTTCTACCATAGGTGTAGCTTCTTAAATAGAAATATATTATGGTAGCACTGTATAATGTCTACATGAGATTAAAACAAGCTCTTTTAATACACAGTAAGCATAGTCATCCATTCTCAATACTTTTTTGTGTGTCCATTATCTTGGGACTATATATATTAGTACTGACATATGACAATTGTCATCTTAAATAATGACAATATGAAAGGTTAAATTTATTACACAGACCAACCTCAGTTACTTCCTAAATACAAAATGTTCTTTTTAACTGAATTTACTGAGAAAATTGGTAAGCTTTGTATTTCTATGTGTTTTGACAAAGGTTGAATTAAAAACAACAGTAAGATTTGATCTTTTCCTTTCTCTTCATGATTCTCCCAACTCTGTTGATGTAATAAAGGGGGGGGTGCATAATAAGATAGTTAAGATTATAGTTAAGATAGTTAAGATTGTAATTGCCTCTTTTCATTATTCCTGGTTAAGAATCCAGCCTCTAAATAAAACTCTCCATGTTAAGGTCCAGAATGACTGGCAATTTACATGAATTATAGCCTGAAGAACATACTGAACATTCTTAACCTTTGTTTTTTAAAACGAATTCCATGGCATCTTCACAAACCTCTACCAGCAGATGAGGGCACTTCTTCATTCCTATAAAACCTTAACCTTTCTCTGTGTAAATTAGTGGACAATTATTTTAGAAGCACTAAAACATCGACTTCCTTGTGTGAGCAAGAGAGGAAACAAAACTTTTGGGAAAATCTAAGATAAACTTGGGCAAAAAGAAAAGAATCCATTACTTTCTAAAGTAGTGTCCTTATGAAAATGTACCTTTTCTCTCACATATCACTAAGGTTCTTCCAACACTCATCTGTTAGAAGGAAAATTTTAAAAGGGGATCTTTTTCCTTCCCATAGGAGTGTCAATGGCAAGCCTATCCTCAAAGACCAGAAAGAAAGCATGTTTTTTCAGATAGATGTACCCACACCCAGGACTCATCTGTCATCTCTCAGATCTAAAACTAGCTCTTCTTTATTGTTTGGTGTCAGAAGTTTTAAGGGCTAAACCACTAATTCCCATTCTTGGCTGAACATCAAATTACGTGTGGAGCTTTTAAAATGTACTGAATTTGGGCAGGGCGTGGTGGCTCATGGCTGTAATCCCAGCACTTTGAGATGCCAGGGTGGATGGATCACCTGAGGTCAGGAATTCGAGACCAGCCTGACCAGTATGGTGAAACCCTGTCTCTACTAAAGATACAAAAATTAGCTGGGCATGGTGGCGTGTGCCTGTAGTCTCAGCTACTTGGGAGGCTGAGACAAGAGAATCGCTTGAACCTGGGAGGCAGAGGTTGCAGTGAGCCGATATCACACCACTGCATTCCAGCCTGGGTGACAGAGCAAGACTTGGTCTCAAAAAAAAAAAAAAAAAAAAAAAAAGTACTTAATTTGGGCCAGGCATGGTGGTTCACGCCTGTAATCCCAGAAATTTGGGAGGCTGGGGTGGGTGGATTGTGTGAATCCAGGAGTTCAAGACCAGCCTGGGCAACATGGTGAAACCCTGTCTTAAAAAAAAAAAAAAACTAGCCAAGCTTGGTGGCATGTGCCTGTAGTTCCAGCCACTTGGGAGGCTGAGGTAGGAGAATTACCTGAGCCTGGGAGATAGAGGTTGCAATGAGCCAAGATCACACCACTGCACTCCAGCCTGGGTGACAGAGCAAGACCTTGTCTCAAAAAAAAAAAAAGAAAATGTATATATAATACACACACACACACGTATATATATAAAACACATACACACACAGTGAATTAGAATCCTCGAATCTATACCCTGTGAAAGTCCCACAGATTGGCCAGGCGTGATAACAGTCCTTTATCACCTATGTCTTTTGCAAATATTTTCTCCCAGTTTGTGGCTTGTCTTTTCATTCTCTTCATTGGGTCACATCACTTGAGGTCAGGAGATCGAGACCAGCCTGGCTAACACAGTGAAACCCTGTCTGTACTAAAAATACAAAAATTAGCCAGGCGTGGTGGCACATGCCTGTAGTCCCAGCTAGTTGGGAGGCTGGGGCAGGAGAAT